CCAATGGCAAGTTGGGTGCGAAGGGCCGCGCCAAACGACCGCCTCCCCGGTCCTGTAACCGGAAAATGCCGCCAATACGCAATTGCAGACTGCCACCGGTGTGGAAATAAATAGCACCGATGGGCACAAAACATTTCATACCTTTCGCTGTTGCGACGTAGTTCATTCATTTTAGTCTATAGCCTGGAACCACAAACGTTTATTCATCTTTAAAACGTCTATTTATCCTTGAGTAGTTGTGGTTTTGTATTAGACTGACGTCCATAATCTTTATACGAAGATTCACAGGAAAAGGAAAGTTTAAAGAGGTTTGTGAAAATGTAGTTGGGGGAAGGGGAGGGGGCACCCCCTTTTTAAATCATTGAAGGCAAGAACGCAGAGAAAGAGGGGTAGCCGACTTCACCTATTCTTAGGGATGGTTTTTATCCAAAAGAATATTATTTTTACCTAACTTTAGGAAGGGGACGAGCTCTGAAGTGGGTGAGATGATTATCTCGTGCAAAAAGCTGAGATGAGGTGATAATTGGACATCCAATTGCCTTAACCTCTTCGGAGCTCCACCTTTTATCAGGCTTAGGTAATAAATACACAGTTATAACATAAAAAAGCTATGAAACAGTCTATGCACCATCTAGGTTGTTGCAGATTTCCAAAATGTTCAAACACATAAGGAAGAAGTAGCGAACAGCGGAAAGCATGGATTTAGATGCTCTATCAATGTGAAGATTTCATGCAGCTGTTTGAATGATACTACAAGAAAGATCAGCGCTTGATTCTCTAGTTTTTAATTTGCCCAAACAATAACTACCCTTATCGAACTACGCCACAGTCATCTCCGTTTCTTCGCTGCTTTTCTCTCCTCCATCAACTCCAATAATATGTAGTGTACTTAGCTTGATGGGTCTTCTACTATAATCCATTTCGACTCTTACTTCCGTTCAAAGATTAATTTTGGTCGACAACGGCCCTGTACCCCCTTCCTCCCGCGCAACTACATTTTCACCCCGAGGTTTATTCAGATTTATTATTAGCATTGCCTTATTTGACTTCAACTAACGCAACTTTTTCGCCCATCCAAAAGATGTGTATGTGTGTATGTATGTGTGTCTGTTTGTGTATGAGTATGCATATGTATGTGTGCGTGTGACCGGGAATTCATAACTCCTGTTCCCGTAGGCCTAGAACGTTCACCCTTGGTAGGTGTCTAGGCGGCAGGATGGGGACACTGATGGTGGGTGGCAGGACCGGACTCTGCCCACAGGGGGCTGGGTTTGCGCAAAATGTTTGAGCAGAAATTCTTAACTCCTGTCCACGTGCACCTAGGGCGTCAAATTTATCAGAAGTACAGACGGCAGAATCGTCAGAATGGAACATTAGCGCTAGCTGGCATGACTCGACTCCGGGCGGGGTGTGCGTGAAAGTTGGCAAGTTGGACCATAGATATTCAAATTTGCTAAAAATAAAGGCAGCAGCATGGGAATGTGATGGGAGGTGGCACGACTTGACTGTGCCCACAGGGGGCGGATTTACGCGAAATTGCTATTTTTGACTTGGGGCATATTTGGAACGAGTGCTGGCGGCACGTTCAAGACATCGATGGTAGTTAGTAGAAGGTAAATAAACTGGATCCATCCTGCGGAG